CCCCCCCCCCCTCGAAATTTACATATCCATTCCTAGGAAGTGAGAGATTTTCTCACTTCCTAGGAATTTTGATATATTTGAGTGGGTGACAAACTTATCACCTTTGAAATATTGATTCACTTAATTTGCAAGGAAGAAAAGCTGGAAATCGCTCCTATAAGACGACTCAATTTTACAAATTTTCCGAGGGTAGCCCCCTAACTCCCCTTAGAGGCTAGGAAAATCCCTTTAACCCCACTCTTGGAGCTGGGAGCAACCCGTAAATTAATTATACTCTTGACGGAGTGTTTTTTAGTGTCCTTTAGACGAGGACGAGGTGTTCTTATGGCGCCCTCTATGAAAAGTTCCTAGTTCCATCCATAGGGAAACTATGGTGTGTACTCTTCTGTTAATGACGTTAATTGCTGCGTTCTTCGACGAGTGATTTTTTCTTTGATATTAAACACAAAAACTCAGTGTTCGGTTCGAAGTTTTTCTTTGAAGTTTCATTGTTCATATCCACTGAATGCAACAGTAAGGGCGCAAATAAGTGTCTTTTTGCCTATTGTTATGGTGCCTATGCGGACCTGTTTGCCGGAGGCAATTACCGAATGTACTTTAGAAAATATCTGATGCCTCCCGGCCTACGAAACTGCACGGGCAGGAGCTTATTATGAGTTGCAGAATTTGCTCATTTACTGATAATTCATCTCCGGTTTGCCTTATTTTAAAAATCAAACTTCAACCTGAAATGTAAATGAGACAGATGAGTTCTGTTACTGGTGCTATCAGAATTCCTGGAGTAAAAAGAGGGGGGGCAAGTGGCAAACCTAACAGATAAAAAAAGTAACTCGAATTTTAGATAAAATTGAGCAAGTGATCAGTAATGGTTACGGTCCCTCGGAATTCTTTGATGATCAAGAGATGATCGTAATGGTTCCATTAGAGGTGGAAGTGAAAATGATAGGTGTCCAGTGCTGCTCATCCATCAGGATACCCGTGGTTTAGGACATGACTTCCACTGACTGAGAAAATGGGTAAGTAGGTATACCAAAACTTCTTTAGAGCCCCCCTCGAGGTAAATTTGAAATCTTGCATTGGAGGTGCAGGCGAATGACACAATATACTTCAGTATAACGCTTTTGAATTTTTGCAACTGTTGCTCTCTGCTACGAACAGACAGTTCTGTTGCGGATTTCATCTGAGATTTCATTTGAATTACTACTATTCTCTAGATAATTTGACTACAGAAATGAGATCTTCGATTTTTTCTGAACAACCGTTTTGATTATTAGGAAGGAACTTAAGAAAAATCCAAATTTCCGAAACGTGGCATGGAGTTGAGCTTCTTGACCTCTAAGCCAACAAGACCCCCATTTCGGTTAAGTTCATTTGATCGTGTCAATTAGAGGGTATCTCGCCTGTACCTCCACGAAAACAGAATGTTTTCAGAGAGTGAATTAGCACCAAAAAAGGTCACTTGATTTGAGCAGAGATATTCTTGAATTGGCCGTCCAGAAGATTTTTTCTTGAATCACTATAAAACTTGCTAGATTCAAGCAGCACACAACATCCATTCCTCTTAATATCGGAAGTTTTCTTCTTGATCCGAGAAAAAATATGCTTGGCAGCAAATTCGAGAGTGTTCCTGGATAAATAAAGTCACTTTCCTTCCCACTGAGTCGATTGAAGTAATATGACGTCATCAAGGGGAACCTAACAAGAGTAAACAAATGAAAAGCTGGTGGTACCTGGGAAATTTCGAGCATCCTGTCGAGAGACGAGCACCCGAGCGACGAGAGCCGCGGAAAAATCGGATGGAAACCACGGCCGGAGGTGGGAAAATCCGAAATCCGAGGGCCACGGGAGCGAGATCGATACGGGGAAACCCGCGGACCTGAGTTAGGTTATCTCGGCTGAGGCTGGGCGCAGCGGACCCGCGAAATCGGCGACGTCAACGCGACTGCCGCGGGAGACGACGGGCGCGACCCGCGCCCCGATTCCGCGCAGGCGCCCGCGGGGAGAGGGGGCGGGGGCGCCCCCCCGCGCTCCCGTTGGGGGCGCGGGTGCGACCGAGACCCAGATACAGCGCTCCGGCCCCGAAGCAAGGGCTGCTGAGGGCGGCTGGTCCGCGCCGCATCGAGCATCGAGCCGAGCCAGTTCCAGGTGGGGGTTCTTACATGTGCCGCTCTGACGTCATCCGTGAGTCGGGCACTTGCGCCGCGGAGGCGCCCAAACTCGCCGACGGAAGTGAGCGTGGTAGGCTCCAACGTTGCAGGATCGACGGGGTTTCCAGAAAGGAGCCAACTCTCATTTTCGAAAAAATTGAGTTAAGGATGTTTTTGAGTTCCGCTGGTCGTATATCTTCTCCTGCCAAAATCTCAAAGTCAATGTTGAAATAAATAAATAAATAAACACTGGAAAGAAAAAAAAAAAAAAAAAAAAAAAAAAAAAAAAAAAAAAAAAAAAAAAAAAAAAAAAAAAANAAAAAAAAAAAAAAAAAAAAAAAAAAAAAAACACATTGGATGTAGAGTCCAGACTTTTGAAAACATTGACAGGAAAAATGACTCTTGATCCAATCAGATTTAAGCTTAAATCAAAAGGAAATCCGCTCAAATTAAGAGGCTCGGTTCTTGATTTAAGCTTAAATCTGATTGAATCAAGAGTATTTTTTCTTGTCGATGTTTTAAAGAGTCTGGACTCTAGATCCAATGTGTGTTTTTTTTTTTAAATTTCCAGTGAACAAAGAAAAAAACGTTAGTTAATGAAAATAGGGCTGAAAGTTTTTGAGTCTGATGGAGTAATAAAACTTCTAATCTCTTTTCCTCAATTTCAACTTAATGTGGGTTGGTTAAACTCGGTCGGAATGAAGTTTCGAACACATTTTGAGAAACTTCAGGGAAATTTCGTGTGGAGATCCACGAAGCTTTGAAATATACACTATTGCAACTCTGGATTGTAGGGCTGACATCGTCACCTTCCGGCCAAAGTATCACAGGCGCCATGCGACGTTCCAAAATGCTTGCTGTCATTTTGTTTTTTTACAGAGAAATTGTTGGCTGAACCTGTTTGAAAATTTCACTGAATTCTCTTTGTGCTGCCGATCAAATTCAGTGAAATTTTCGGACAGCTTTGTTGAGTAATTTCCCTGCAAAAAATTAAAATGACGGAGGAAATTTTGAAATGTCGCATGACGCTTGTGATACTGTGGCCAGAGGGTGACGATATGTTATTCAGGAAAGCCATGAATCCAAAAAAAAAAAAGTTTTTAGAGAATGAGCTTAGTCCTGTCCGAGCGGATAGCAGGTTGTCAATTGTACGGAACAAGCACATATCGGCGCACAATGGACCGAGTCAATTAGAGAGGTCGGACATTAATTTTTTGACTGAAACTGCAAGTTTTGATGTTTATTCCCGTCACATTTTGAACTTTAAGGGGTGATTCTTGAAGGAAATTTCACGAGGAAACCAATGGCACCACTATAAGAACGTCAAATTTTTGTATGAACGGAGTTATAAGCGTTTAAAGTTTCCAAATTTTGTCCGACCTCACCGATTGACTTGATGCATTGTGCGGCGGCGCAAGCCCGCAACCATATCTTGTTTGTGGTGTTTGTATAAACCTCTACCCCTATTTTATTTTTTCAAAAGGGAGCAAATCGACATCTTAGTTTTCGCAGAATTTTCTTAGCACTGAGAAGAAAATCACGGTAGTTTTTAAGAATTACCGTTGAGTAGTTTTTCATTTAAAATATAAAGTGTGATAGAAAGTCTGCGACGTCGCAAATCGAGATACGTGGTTGCGGGCTTACACCGTCGATCATTGGCGTGGCGTGAATTGCGATAAAACGATTGTTATGCCATTTAAATCTATGGTAAAGAATCGATTATTAAGGTGTTCGCTGCGAACACCCTGTTTATCGATCCTTTTCCATAGGTTTAAATGGCATAACAATCGATACATCGCAATTCACGCCACGCCACTGCCGTCGATATAGGTGAAGCAACATGAAAGGTCTCTGAGGGGGTATCATTGTGCTCAAATTAGTTATCCGCTCTATCATGAGACTCTTAGTTTTGGATGGACTATCAGGGCCGGATTTACGGGGTGGCCACATGGGCCGCGGCCCATGACGGCAAATGTTGTAATTTTTTCAAATGTAGGTGTCAAGAAAAATATCTGCTTCAGAAAAAAATTTACCAACGAGAAAAGGCGAAAAATCTCTCATTTCCTGAGAGTTAAAGTACCTATAGTAATTTCTGATTTGTTCGTCTTTCGATGATACAAGAGACAGCGCCTTTCATTAGTCTAGTTGAGAGAGAAACCAAACACGCAATTCGGCCTAGAGCGGCGCGGCGCGGCGCAGAGAGCAATGATGACGCGGACTTGAGATGGAAAGGAGAAGCCCTCGGCACGGCGGTCAGCACGAAACACGTAATAGCGCCTACAAGACTCCATGAATACTTCACGCATTGCGTCAAACGTAGTGCGGTCAGCAGCGGTCGGCGTGGAACGCATAGCGCCTTCAAGACTGTGTAGTAGGGATACTTCACGCATTGCGCCGAACAAAGGACGGTTGGCGCGGTGGTGGAAATTAAAATCATTAAACTACAATCATGTTTATTCTTTCATAATTTGTTCGTTCTTTTCTTATAAATGAAAGGCCTCGTCCACACAGAAATAGGTTTACGGAACTTAATTTTCGCGCAAAGTTCCGTGAACTTTTGCTAGTGTTGACAGGACTTTCACAAAAAATGTGCCCAACAGGAGTAAACGCGTTTTATGCACCTCTCCTCCTCCGGCACGTTCACTTGATGGTTGGTATCGATGTTTCAAAACGAATAAGAAGGGGCGGCAAAATACAGGCGGCCCATGGGCGGCAAGTAAGTAAATCCGGCCCTGTGAACTATCATGCGATGGTTGAAAAGATGACTCTACATCTATAACTCGTTTCTTGCGATGAATCGCCTCTCAATGGTAAAAGTTGCAAAATGCGCACCTCGGTTTACGGCGCGCGTCGCGGATTTTTCGTCACGTTTTATTTTTTCAAAGGCGGATCGATCAACATTAGGCATTTCTTTTCATTTACCTCTAATTTTTCTTCATCTTATGACTTGCGCAGAATATTCTATGAAATATAGTCAGTATTTGTAGAAACGACTTCGCAATATTACTTAAGTTGTACTGCCATTAATTTGCAAGTACTTGGGTAAACGGAGGAAAGGTCCTACTAGTAAATTGTATCCATACAATCTATAGTAGGTATTCCTATTCATTCTTCTATTGAAATTATAGGCAAGAGTGTTCGTTTGGTTTCGTGCAAATTATAAATGAAGTTGCCGAATCTGAGCAGTAATGCAGAGCTTACGCGTCGTCTCTGCAAAGAATGTCTTGATTGCCAGCGACAAGATTTTTTCTTTTAAGGGGGGGGGGGGGGGGCNGCGTTGGTCGGTAAAAATTCGAAAGAAAAAGCCGCGGTGATTTTGAAAAGCAGCGAATACGATAAGTTTTCTTCGATTTCAATCATCACACTATTTCTCGCCATCCGTCCCAAGTTCCGGTGAAATGCTAATTCAGTCCGGACTGTTTGACAGGCATGCTTGTTGCCTATGCGGCGAGATTGAAGGCGAACCTCGAGAAAACGATATCGGTCGATAAGTTTAAGCGTGGTCTAATGGCTCAAGAAAGTTAATGGAGCGAGATTAATGTATGTTTTTCTGACAGACAACTATTCGTCTCCTTTAGTATGTTCGTTGCCTATGCAGCAGAACTGGTGGCAGACTTCACGGGGACTATCCCTACCAATAAGTTAACAACATTCTCCGTCGGTTCAATCAAAGCTTAGGGAGCGATATAAATGTGTGTTCTTTGAATAGATAACCATGCGCGCTATCCGGCAAGTTTGATACGAATACAGCGAAATTGAAGGCGAACGACTAAATGACAATATCTGTTGGTAAAGTTATGCATGGTTCATTGGTTTAGCAAAGTTTATACCTCGAAATTAATGTACCCATGTTTTTCGAATAGATTATGTAAAATCTTGCAGAGGTAGGCAAAATCAACATATAAATGAATAAAGACTAGCATATCCCTTTTTATTTTAGTTTTATTGAAAATAATATTAATTGTTTTTAAAATGCAGTGGGAAAAAGCTTCCCTGTACACCGACTGAATAAAAATAGTATCCTTAGAACTACACGATGATTCATGAAAACTTCAAGATTCAATGTTTTTTAATTTATGAAGGCGATCAAAGTGAACAAATATGGTGTTAAGATACAATTAAACACAAATTATAACAGATGAAGAGATGATAATGAATCAATAATAATAATAAAAAAAAACCCAATCCATTTAGTATACTTCTCTCCTGTAGAATGTATGGAGCCATGAAGAGAAACAGGGGCGCTAAAGTCACGTCTCGACTGACAAACTTTATGCCTTGTAAGGGCAGCTGTTAGTACAGAGCAAACAGTGAAAGGTGAGCAATAGTACATCAAAAGTTATTGCACAATTCGAAAAATGGTTCTATGCGATTCTGATGGCTTCTCGGGCAGTCATAAATCCATTATAATCTCAAGTTTTCACTTAATATCAGAATCTATCACAATCCCATTAACAGGGTGACTGGCGTAATTCATTACAGAAGTGATATCTGTCTCTTTCATGTTCACTTCATTGAATGATGAACTGATCATTGTCAGATAAACTGATCATAATCAGATCACTAATAAACCATGATTCTCACCACTGTGTTATTCCAAAGTGTAATTTTTGTTCATATTGAACATAAAAATTCAAAATATAAATTGTTCTTTTCATTATTTACAGACTAAATGGGGAGGATTTCACAGAAAAAAATGCTTTCATGAGCATGACTGTTGCAAATGACCCATTCCCGCTGCAGTCCTTAAGTAGGATTTGAAATTAGTTTGTATTACAATCAAATTACACAACTCAATCAATGTATTTGACAAGCTTTAACAGCCAATAATTGCAGAATAACAAAAACAGGTGCCATTGTTTCGGACGAATCTAAATTTGACATACCTGTTAGTTTTCTGCAGATGAAAAATTGAGCCAAAAACAGTAGAAATAAAAAGGTAAATGAACGACATGCGCGAAGTATAGCACCTTTGTACAGGCCTTTGATGTACATCCGAATAAAAACGATGGTACAAAAGTAAGCATTAATGATATCAGCTATGAATAAGGGTAGAAAAACAGCCCACCAGTCGTTTAGAGATGGAGGCTGACTTGTGATCTGCATGTTTTCCAGTCGGAATGCTAGAAGGACAGAAAAACCTAGCAAACCAAGAATATTGACCCACAGTTCGAATACCGTCACACCGAGCCAAAAAGAAAGCTCTTTGATGGAAAAGAACATGGTTAGCTCAAAAGATGTCTTTCACTTTGAAATGTAACAATTGAAAAATGTGTCTTCAAGGGCAGACTTACAATGACGAAACCTCACAAATTTTGCTACTTTTTATCTTTACTTTTAACTGTGGATTTGATGAGGATGTGAACGGCTGAGTTCTGTCGTGTTTGGACTTCGTACTCTGATTCATCATTCAACGGCTCCAGATCATCTGAGGATATGGCAAAAAAGTTTCAATTAATGATACAAGGCTTTCAGTGGAAACTACCAAACAAGTCCCCTGATCATCTCCATTAAGGAGAGGTATCAATAAGGGTCGTTTTAGGGCCCAGCCTGAATTTTCTCGATAGAACTTGATTTTTTGCTCATTGTCAGTCCATATTCTCTGGAATATATCATGATTTGGTCATTTACGGTCTCTTTCCAGGTTTAACACTGACCTAAATATGGGTCTATAGGTTGATTTTAGCGAAAAAGGCGTATTTTTTGGGATTCGACCCCAAACCCCACATTATTTGTCACAAGCAGCCTTTTGACCCATGTTAAGGTCAGTATCAGACCCAGGAAGAAACCAAAAATGACCAAATTATGATGCATTTTGTAGAATTGAGACCGACAGCGAGCAATGAGTTTCTTTGAGGAAAGTCAGTGTGGGCCTGAAAACAGCCCTAATCGATAGCCCCCCCTTCAGTCTTTTCTCAGACAACTCTTGACTGAAAACTAGAGAGATAAATCTAAACAAACATTGTTACAAAATTTGCTTCCACTCCCTGTTATTGTTCAGGTTGCAGAAGGGTATGAAACCTTGCTTTTTGAGAATCTTTCTGTCCTTTTCCTCTTCTTGGGCTTCTTTTTTCCCCCTTGCTTTTCTCCGGAAGTTTTTATTTTGAATTTTTCTCCTGATTTTCCCAGACACTGTGACAATTATTTTCTTTCAATTCTAAGATTTTTAAAATGACTTATCTTTCTGTTACTGAAGCATCCTGATTTCCCAGACTTTCAGTAACTAAATTTTGCCCCCTTGGTATGAGCTCCAGTAATTGTGCTCCAGTATGCAAGCATCTCATTGATGATTCTTAACAGATTGTCATACTTTTGTCTCTGTTTCCCCTACATTTTAAAATATTTTTAAACAAAAGGTTTCAAAATTCTAATGAATCCCAAAATTCTCTTTTCAAGGCACGCTTTGTAACAATACTATGTGCGCCAATTAACTTGTTTTAAAAATTTCTTTATTTCAAATTTTTTTCAGAGCTGCTTTCTTAAATTTGAAATCTTGCGGATTCAAAAACCTTTTAATTAAAAAAAAACTTTAGTCCCTTCAGTTTCGGCTGAGCATATGTGTACTATATTAATAAGTAGGATATTGCTTGGCCATTGCCAAAAAGAGGCATCTTGAAGCAAAGGGGGCAAAGTCCATTTTGCCTATGAGCCCCAAAATGCAAGTATTCTTATGTAATCTGGAGCTTGTCAGCAAAATGGACTTTGGTCCCTTTATTTCATGATGCCTTAAATGAGCTACTGAGTTGAGGGAGAGTAAGATGGAACTTTTTACTTTACTTACCAACTAAATCTATGGTTGATGTGTTCACATGAATCTCTAGTGTATCGTAATGAGTACGCTGGAGTTCAAGAGCTAAGCTTATAGTTCTCAAAACTGCATGTCCCAAACCATGGAGGATGACAAACGAGTTCTCAGATGACAGTAACTTCTCACACTTGGAAAGCTGACCCTAAAATTTCATAATGCACAAAATTATTCATTGGCATAAGAATTCGGATCAGGATGTAAATGATAAGAGTAAAAATAAATTAAAACAAAATCCAAATTATCTCCTTCTGATTTCCTGACTTCATTATTGGAAGTGGAGAAAGAAAAGAATAGACAAATATTGCGTCCAAAAATTGCACCACTCAACAGATATTTATATGCTAACCAATGGGCCAACCGATGATTGATGCATTCAGACTGATGTGACTTTTGTCTATTCTTTTCTTTCCCTAGTTCTAGGAATTATAGATATCAAAATGAATTATTACGTTAGACGTGGCGAACATACGCTTAACTTTTCCCAGCAAGTGTGAGTTGGATTCACAACAGTGCCAGATCAGTTAAGTTCGGATCAAAGTTTGGTTCCTAGCAGAACTCATCTTCAGAAGTTACATGAAATTTCACTTTTCGTCATACTTGATCCACGTCTTCACCTCCAAATTGATGGATTTTGGGTCCCTAAATGTTAGTCTAACTTGATAACTTATTTCCAGATGTCTATGGGATGGACATTTAAGTAGCATTCAGCTGTTGTTGCGGGTTCAAATTTGATTACACTATGTACCATCGGAGATTCCTTTTAGTTGAAACACCAAAAATGGTGCGTTTGAAAATTTGAGCACAGAATGAACTTACTTTAAAATCGGACTTATTGGTCACATAAAATTCATTTTCTTTCTTCTCTCCTCTGGGTGGTGGGCGCTTCTTCCTCGCATGATCCATGCCATTCAGATGATCTACTGTAATAAGTGAGGTAGCAGCATCTAATCAGTAAAAGCAAGTTAACCTTCACCTTAACGTTAAATTCAAGGGACAGTGAGGCAAATGGAAGTTAATGACAACTCATTGCAATTGATTAATGGTAATTAATTTGAAGTAATCACACGACACAGTTTATAATCAATATTAGATTGGAAACTCAGAAATCAGAGGAACATAACCTAAAAATTCATAAACAATGTTGAGTGCGGAGTTTTCGTTGCCTCACATCCGGCGGTATCAACTAGGCTGAAGGCGCGTCTTTACCCCCCTAGCTGTCTTACCTTCCCCGCCTAAAGTCGGGCCCAATGCGCGGTCTAGATTGTATTATACGTCAATGTGCCTCACCGACCTAGCAGAAAATTACGGCCCATGATTGGTCGAGCATTTCAATATTGTTTCCTGATTTGTTGATGATGGCGGGGACCCCTGCCACCTGTATCTGTGTGTTGTGGACAGTGGAATCCCGAACGGCAATTTTTTTTTAATAATCTATTAGTCTTTAGTCGTTGTAATTTTCCCTCACTTATTAATTCGACTTTATTTTATTCCGATGGTAAGTCTTACTAAAACCTTTAGCATTTGTAGAATCTACTTCATCTTTAACAGTACATGACTGGCCCCTGTACCTGTCGTCTATGAGTCATCGAAGACTGAGAACAAAAGTTTTCCAGTTTTTGTGTCGCTTCAAGAAGAATTTAGCAGAGGCCCTGCAGTTTCAAACAGCATTTTAAACTGGCGTATGCTACTTTTTTAGCTGTGCCGTTGCATCCCCAGTTGCGTACTCAGAATTATCCTCTTGACCTAACCGTTGTGTAGGCATATCCTCCCTTCAAGTACGAGTGCTCATTACCCCCCATATATTATAAACTAGGCACTCCTTTCTAATCATCTGAACCTTTTCTTTATTGGCATTTGTTTCAATGAGTGCTAATTTCCATTCTAAATTTACGAATTGGCTTCAGATCATCTTGGTATGTCATCCCGGTAGCTGTTGTGCGTAAGTTACATGTCCCGACAGATACAATTTGTCTCGCATGCTACAAGCTACTGTAAAGCCAGTGCCATCTAGTAGATGGACGAAATGGATTATATTTAAGGCCTCTCTGATTCACGTGCCAAATTTTGGAAGCCTGCTAAGCTGTCATGATCTCACGGATATTTCCGCTGGAATTCCTACTTATTGTACACATGGAATTTAGTATTTTAACTCATCATACCAAGCTCCATTCATCATTATCAGCACATGTCTGTGCATCCAAATTTTCTTAACTAAGGGCTGCATAAGAAATTTGTGCTGTATCCAAGTGGAAGTATGATATTCTTAACCTATCTTGCCTTACTGTGCAGGCGGAGATTTTCACCGGAAAGGTAGTACTTACTAGGTACCTATTTTAGGTTGCCAAATTTTGTATCATGCCACAGAGTGAAAGAGATAGCACCATTAATTTTGTAGATTCTCTAATGAAAGTATTTCAGTTACGGAAAGTAACATACTTAATGGCATACACTGCTGAAACTGCAAAATTGTTAAACTCGTTCGCTGTGTTTCAAAATCTCTGTTCTCATTTTATTGCTGGTATTAAAAGAAAAAAAAAAAAATACCCAACAAATATCGTTATACCAGAATCAGATCAAGCACATTGCTCATTAAATCTCAATTATTTAATAAAATTCTCAATTCCCTTGTATTTTTTATTTAGTATGGAGAAATGACAACTGTTCTCTTGGCAGTCTTTCCTATCACAGCTTGCATTTTTTTCATGAAGTTGGTTTTTGGTTTGTTTCAGAAGTAAATTATGCGAATAAAAATGAACGAAGAAATTCGAGTTAAAACTGTTTATAGTGGGTATGTACATACTTACTCTCTCAAATTTATGGTTTCATGGTCGCAGCTAACATTTATACAGATTTCACATGATAGTAGACCAACCTGTCTAATGGCACAAAAACTGCATTATCTTCATCTTCCATACGCATTAATTGCAATAATCAAGAAAGACAAGATACCAGGTCTCACCCTAAAAGTTGACTAATTTAGTCAGTGAGGATTCTGTAGAATCTAATTTGTTAATGTTTGGCAGAGCAGACTTTACAATTTCTGACAGAGCAGGGTTTACTTACAATCCCTCAGGAGATAAAGCGTAGATCAGGTCAAGTAAGTTGGAAATGCAAAAAAATAAAAAATGGATCCTCTAAGTAAAGCTTTGAAAAATGCAAATCTTTTAGTATGAGTGTGACGAGTCAAGTCCTCTAGTCACAGTGTCAGTGACATACGCTTGTTAGCTTTAATTAGTTGTGAAGGATTCCTCTTGTTTTGTTTTGTTAAACTGCTGTAAGTTTTTTTCTTGTGCCTCCTAATGGTTTTTTGTATTTTATTCTTTCAGGGAAGTTATTGTTTCCTATATAAATTCAGTAATCAAGTATGAAGAGCTCCAAAACCACATGGAGGACATTTGTCATCTGGCCAAAGGTCAACCATTTACTATGAAATGGGTGGATGAAGAAGGTATACTCCCTCAAACAGCTTGTTTCTATTTAATCTTATTTCCTTTCGCCCTCGTCTGAGAAAATGGAGACTTGCGAGTACTTTATAGGTTAAATTCAAAATGTGAACTGAATGTGTAACTTTGAAAAGTCATCCTTAAGGCTCTGTATGGAGTAGATGAACAATGGAACAGTGGCTTAAAATCTTAGCACACTTTTATAATAGTTTTCCTTTAGTAAAGTAATGTGTTGAAAGCAAAAAGTCAGTTAAAAAGTTAAATAAATTATTTCTAAAGGGAGAAAAAGCGAATAAAAATATGACTGACCAAAAGTCAACAGTAGAGTTGACGCAGCAAAGCCTGAAGCTGAATTCAACCAATCAGCAAATGCCTTATTACCTGCCTAGCTACTTCTTTAGAGTCAGCCAAAAATATCATTTCAAATTGGTCCTAATTTTGACATTTTCAAAATTGGATTTCTTTGCAATTTTGAGTTATACTAATTTCACGGAAATTTTAATCTTTAATATTTTTCATTTCGTTTTGGCAATCTTAGGTTGTTCTATCCATTCTTTTGATATCTCTTTTTATATTAAAGTTTTCTCTCTTACTTTTCTGTTTGTTAGGTGATCCGTGCATTATATCCACTCAAATTGAACTTGATGAGGCAATCAGATTGTACGAAGTGAACAAGGATTCAGAACTTACCATACACGGTAAATCTTTCTTTTATGCATAAGCTCTCATTGTTTTGCCATCTATTTGTTTTGGAACTCAATCATTGATATATCTATCAGATCGTTTCAAGATCAGAATTCAATTTCTGCGGAGGTTGAGTGCTGAAGACCAGCATCCATAAAAATGTTGCACGAAATCTTTGTAATTTTTTTCCGACTCCTTTTTGAGGGGTAATTCATTAATTATTCTTCACTTAGTAACAAGAAGTTCCAAGAGAGAAGATCCTTGCTCGGAATTCCTCCGAAGTTTTCAAGGGAAGTTCTTATTTCTGATCACCAGAAAGCTTCCTTAGATCCATAGAGCTTGCATGAAGATGATTGATGTGTGACTTTGATCAAATTCTGGACAATTTGAAACAGCATCGAACGATTTACTCTCAAAAAAATTGGACAGTGTCTTAAGGAGAGCTAGAAAAAGGGACCCGAAACCAGCCTCAATCTTTTAAAAAATCTCTCTCTGTGTAAGTTTGATTGATCACTCGTGGAGAAGTGACAATTTTAGCCAGTTTGAACTCTAATTTAGATCAGTTGAAGAAAAACTTGATTACATCAGCCATTTTGGCGGACTTTTTGACCCTTTCTCTCCTCTCCTTCTATAAGTCATCTTCTCATCCCCCTCGCAAGAGCATAAATCTGGCTTGATACTTTGCTTATTTTCTCAAAAAGTAAAGCTGAAAATCTAAGAAATTGCCTTGCAAAAGCCTAGGCCTGACTCCATCCCTCCCCCTCTGGTAAAACCCTGTAAGTCAAGCTCAGACCCTTTGAGTGGCTTGCTTAATATTTGAAATCCCCCCCGGTCCAGATCCGAGTTCATCAGAGTCTCTTTTTCATGATTAGACTAACTATTAACAAATTTAGCCGCAAAGTTTAACTGTTTCAATTTCAAGTGTGTGAATACCATTCATAGGTATTTTCATTATCAGATTGGAGAACTGTGGCTCAAAAGTATTTAAAGCTAACTCCAAGTTAGTGTGTTTTGTCTTTAGGAGTAGGAACTTTATTTACCAGCTGCCCAAAACATTCACTCTAATTGATAAGAACTATGATACATTTTGAAACTTTTTAAGTTAGACAAGCATTCTAATGAATTTATACACATATCAACTTGTAGTGCAAATTGTTTCCTAACGCCTCATTTTTAACTTTATTTTGTTATTTTTACAGTATTTCCCAACGTTCCACCACTACCGGGTTTGCCCTGTCAAGGGGAAGACAGTAAGTCAGACTTTATTTCAGAGAATGTTTTCTTTCATGCAAATGAGTAGTACAAACTCACCTCTACCATCTAATTATTTGAAAAAAAAAAACAAAAAAATGCAATTAGTGTTGCGCCCAGGAAATCAAACCTTACTCTCTTTGTTATTTCTGTACTAAAATGTAGACTATTAGCAGGGAAAAAATTCTACATAATATGCGAAGTTTCCACATTTATTTATTTTTTTTGTCAAATATTTGTTAACAATTTCTCCCTCTTAATATTCTTGCAATAGTTACTATTTCAATAACTCTTCTTTTTTTGGTGTCTTTTTTTGGAGGGAAGAAGCTCCTCCATTAGATATTGAAGACACCCCAGAGAAGAATCCTTCTGTGATAAGTTTTATTAATAGTACCACTGATCAGATCAGTCAAAACTATTCGTGTGATGGAAAATGGCTATACTTTATGCTATTGACTGAGCTCGAAAAGCTGTCCAGTCGAAGTTCCAATTATGTTTCTAGTTTTTCAAAAGCATTTTTTAAAGATTAATTTGATATAATGAGTTTTTTTCAAAGTGTTCCTAGTTTTAATTGAATGAAGATTGACCAGAATCAGGTCTACTGGTTTTAACTTTGCTTAACTGAACAGTATTTTGCAATTAAAAACCACACTCTACGGCTCAGTTTAAAAACAATGAATGTACCATAAGTTCCCCTATAGATATATCTTCATTATACGGATGAGCCGGAAATTGTAGTTCCAAAGTGCAAAATGTAGTCTGATTTCCATGCCAAATTATCATGCTTCATCTCTGCAATAGAGAGCTGAATTATACAATGCCTTAATTACATATACGACTTTTATTTTAATTAAGTGTAAATTTCCTCCAAATAGTAGCAAATATGTCACTTAGTCTTCAATCATGAAAGTAAAACATGAGTGAAAGTTGGGAAATGTCTGATAAGGTTAGGCTGACTATGGTTAAATCTGTTGAATTTATAGCATGTATAAAAAGGGAGGGAGAGTGGACAAATATGGAAGATGTCACTCAGGGAGAAAAGAATCATCTTAATTTTTAATGGAATTAAACGCACACTATTTTAAAACTTTTTAACATTTGTACTTTTTTTGCCCTGACAACAGGGAGTATTTACAGACGAGGAGCACGGAGATGGAGGAAGTATTATATGGTCAATGGGCATACTTTTCAGCCTAAAAGATTCAACAAAGTAAGTCATGCACGTCTTTCCAATTTATTAAGAAACATTTCGAGTGCATTCACAATATTTCCAGCAAGCTGATTATTGAAATTGATTGTCAAAATGATAGACAAAGAAGACAAAAAAAAAAAAAAAATAACGCGATCCTATAAGTTGGAGCAGGTGTTTTTCTTTCTTAGACTCAGGGAAAAATGATGGACTAACTACAGGAACTCTCATTGGTTGCCATTAGTTAGTCTCCTCCCTTGTTAAGTGATTGCAACCATCCGCTTCTCCCAACAGGTTCGCTCTTTTTTCTCTTTTTCTTCTTTGTCTATCGCTCTGTCCATCAATTTTATTAATTAGTCTGCCGGCTCCATTTTCAGCATCTTATGTATAACACTACAACAATCAAAGAAAATACAAAGTCTTCTACTTTACATACAGTACATTTTAGTGCTTTGGAGCCTGCTTTGAGCCCAGATGTAGATCACTGTTTCGAGAGAGATAGGAAACAGGTGCCAGCATCATAGAAAAGTTATCAATAATATTGTAGAAATAATTGCTTTCATGGTCAATTTTCTTATAAGAAAAAAAAGTATTTGAGAAATTAAGGTATTCTCCCCTGAAAAGATGAAAATTTGCCTGAGCTCATCTCATTTCAAAGCATATAACAGCAAAACAAATTTAAAAATGGTTATACTGAAATATTCATCATCAAGTTGGCCCAAAACTTGCCAAAAATTTAAAGATAAATACATTCAGACTCACAAGAGGCTAGGTATCACTAAAATCTAGTCGCTAATCTTCAGCACCAATAACAAACTGGGCTCATAGTAATGAAGAGATGAGTTAGAAATCTGGTTCAGTTTGATTTTTTGTTTATGGGTTAATCTTAAGCAAGGTAATGAATTATGCAACAAGTTGGAATGGAGAATTTTATGAGTTTAAAATCTTTTTCTGAGTTCTATTCTGTAGGTTGATTTTGGTAGGTCTTCCAGGCAACTGAGTGCTATTTTACTGCGTATGCGTATTACTGATTAAGTGATGCCTCTAGACTCTGAATCAGTTTGTGATCAGCTCTCCTTCATGTTTTGATTAAATACCTGATTGTATTTGTTGTTACAGGGAGCTTTGTGCGCATATTGTCTGGATAGGATTTGGGGTCTCGGACGGCAAGGATTCAAGTGCCTTGAATGCAAACTGATGATACACAAAAAATGCCACAAGTTTGTGAAGAAGCCTTGTTCGCATGAGGCTGTCGAGCCAAGCTCCAAACCTGAAGATGCAAACGGCGACTCGCCAGTCATTCAAAGTAAGAGCTTCAAACTGAATTCAGTTGTATCATGTTTATGAAGAACCAATGGTTTGTTTTGCAAGAAAAAAAAAATTGTCAATCTATTCATGATTCAAAATAAGTATCTTGGATTATAGAGAAATTATTTAGTCTGATTAGTTAAAAATTACTTCTAATATAGATATAGGTCGATAAAACAAAGCTACTTATGTAATTATGTAAATTTCAAGTCAATGAAAATTAGGAAACAGGCTCAAGTTCAATCCACTTGGGTATCATCTAGTAGAGGAGGTTGAGCTACTTCGGAGTTTTGATAGAAGACAAATGCTAGGTATCAGTAAGTCTTATAATCATTCAAAAGTATGCCATGTTTTCATTTTGATCTTATGAAAACGTCATATTTTTGTTTTTGGAATGTTGGAGACACCCTGAATGTGAAATAGTTAAAAAGTGGTAACATGTCTGAGAGTGGAAAGAAAAAAAAAAAAATTCATGGCAGGTTTGGTGATAATCTATCCTTGAAAGAAATAAGCTCTTCTTGTTGCTCAATGTAAGTAGATCTACATAAGTCCGTTTTTGTGTCACATTGTGTTAGTTGCTATGGTGTTGTTGCCTTTTTTGTCATGAACTGATATTTTTCAGGTAATGCAGCCATGAAACACTTAGATGCAGTGGTGAATAATGTCAGCAACAATGACCACTTCGATCTACCCATTGATGCTGCCAACAAAAGTAAGTAGATTCGTTCGTATTCAAAGGAATGTCAAAAAATTATCATGTGACCTCCTCAATGTCTGGTGCAGGGCCTCTTGTCAGCTAGAAGAAAAACGTGATTAAGTAGAGGGAATTTAATTTACCAAGGAAAAATGACAAATGTCAGGGAAAAATTAACAAACTGGATATAAATCGCTAATAATTGATAATAAAACATAACTTTCCTCGGCCAGAATCCGTGGAAGCTTCTTCTGAAGACCTAATATAAACCCAATGGCTTTTGCTAGTCAATTCATGATTATTTTCATTGATCAAGGTATCAATTTAATGATCCCGATGATTATGGTGACTTTATTGAAAATGATTATTGAGCCGTCTCTATGCAAGTTATGTTTTTAGGAGTTTTATTACTTAGGAATGATGGCGTTCTTATTGTTGAATTTGTGAATGGTTTTGTTGCTAAAATCTTTTAGCATTCTGAAAGATTTAGTTTTTCTCAGAATTCATATTCAGGAAAAACTAAAGGATTTTGGAATTCTTATATTGAAGTAAATTCTGCTGGTTTAAAGTCATTAGATACACAGAAATGGGCAGATGATATGTATATGTATTTGGTTGTTCCAGAGATTTTTGCTTTCTTCTGAGAAGGACAATCCTTCATTTAAATCCAGTTACTGCGCTATTAGATACTTTGAATCCTGTTGAGCCCGAAGCACCACAAAAAAGCTCAGAGTAGTGGGAAAGAACCATTGTCATTTTCTATCTTTTACACAATTTTCCTTTTGTTTCCAGTTGAAGATGAAAATGTAGATGCTGGTGCTGAAAGACAATATGCATACTCATTGGCTGACTTCGAGCTTATCAGAGTTATTGGACGTGGTAGTTATGCTAAAGTATTAATGGTCGAGCTAAAGAAAACACGGCGAATTTATGCCATGAAAGTTATCCACAAAGCTTTAGTAACAGACGATGAGGTAAGTTTTCCTTTTTCAGTTTTAAAGCTCATATTGAAGTAGTTTCAAGGATTTCTAAATTGCTTAAAGAAACTAAAACTGAATTTTTCTTCCTCAATTTGTGCAGGCTTGCATACTTTGTTCGACTGTAATATCCATTTGATCCCTCGAAATGACTCATTTTGAAAGATCCCTCAAATTCCTCGAGTTTATGAACTGTTTATTGTTGAGGTATCGCTGATTTTAGTTTTCAAAAGCTGGCATGAGCCCTACAAATGTTAGTTTTTCCTCAAGTAAAATGCTCTTCGAAGAAACTTGCTGGAAGAAAAACAATGCAACCGTCAAGTTTCTCATATATTTACAAAACCGAAGCATAACCTGTGAAGTGCACTTTAAGGAAAGTGATTTTTTTCTTGCCCAATCTTTTTTAACCAGCATTTTAATTTCATTTATTTTATGACAGTTGTTGTTTACCTCAAAATTCATCTTTTAATATCGCTAAATACTGAAATCTGTGCAATTTTCAAAATTATTCCTTAATCCTTACACAAATTTTGTATTTGCAGGATATCGACTGGGTTCAAACAGAGAAGCACGTTTTTGAGACTGCATCCAATCATCCGTTCTTAGTAGGGCTTCACTCTTGTTTCCAAACCCCAAGCCGATTGTTTTTCGTCATTGAGTTTGTTCGCGGTGGTGATTTAATGTTCCATATGCAGCGACAAAGGCGTCTGCCGGAGCACCATGCTAGATTTTATGCTGCAGAAATTAGTTTGGCCTTGAATTTCCTCCATAAAAAAGGTAAATTCTCTCCAATTTTATTTTTATTCATCAATTCATTCTTGTCTCTACGCTTTAGTCGTACAACAACTGTAATCATATTGTTTTATTCTCAAATCTGCAATCTACAGGGATCACAGTGGGTTTTAACTAAATCTAATTAAGAAAATGAAAGTCCCCATGTCTGAAAGCGGAAAAGCACAGCGTAACACCTCAGGAAAACATCCCCGCTGAAAAGAAAATCATTCGTTGGGCCGTTTTTTTTTTTTTGCCCCCCCAAGCCAAAATGGCGGCCGATATGCGCCGCCGCAGGGTGCAAATGTTACAACTCCCTCACAATGTCAAGTGACACATCGATTCCTATGTAATTTTGATTGTAGAATCCAAATATGAGGTTAGAAATCCCTCACAACCAAAAGGGATCGCGCAAATTCAAGATGGCGGCCAAAAATAGGCCCCGGAGGAAAAATTCTCAATTCCAGCTTTTGGTGACGCGTGAGATGTCTTTTTTTATGTTTTTGGGTCATGGGATCCAAATTTGAGGTCAAAAATTCCCTTCTGCCGACAGGGATCCCTCAAATCCAAAATGGCTTCCATTTTGGGGCTGACATATTATTTCCGAAAGACGCGTGGAGTCGAGTGAGGTGTCTTTTTACATGTTTTTGGACCATATAATCAGAAACTGGGAGCCAAACTGTGTCCCTGTGGGCCGGAAGGTAAGATTTGTCCCTTAGCACCTTGATTGTAACGTTTTTATCAACTATTTAAATAAAAACTCAGAATTTCACTGTTTTCACTGTTTCACTGTTCAAAGAAGATTATTTTTGTTTTGTTCCTATTTCTCTTGCGCTAGTTTTTTTGTGAAGCAGGGGACTATAGCCCCTGCTAGGCAAAAAGGTCAAACATTATTTGTAAGAATAGAGCATTCTTGGTGTGGTTGGCGCCGCTCTAACAGTGAAATTCTGAGTTTTTATTTAAATAGTTGATAAAAACGTTACAATCAAGGTGCTAAGGGACAAATCTTACCTTCCGGCCTACAGGGACACAGTTTGGCTCCCAGTTTCTGATCATGTGGTCCAAAAAACATGTAAAAAGACACCTCACTCGACTACACGCGTCTTTCGGAAATAATATGTCAGCCCCAAAATGGAAGCCATTTTGGATTTGAGGGATCCCTGTCGGCAGAAGGGAATTTTTGACCTCAAATTTGGATCCTATGACCCAAAAAACATAAAAAAAGACATCTCACTCGCCACCAAAAGCTGGAATTGAGAATTTTTACTCCGGGGCCTATTTTTGGCCGCCATCTTGAATTTGCGCGATCCCTTTTGGTTGTGAGGGATTTCTGACCTCATATTCGGATTCTACGACCAAAATTACATATGAATCGATGTGTCACTTGACATTGTGAGGGAGTTGTAACATTTGCACCCCGCGGCGGCGCATATCGGCCGCCTTTTGGCTTGGGGAGGGCAAAAAAAAACGGCCCAACGAATGATTTTCTTTTCAGCGGGGATGTTTTCCTGAGGTGTTTCGCTGTACTTTTCCGCTTTCAGACATGGGGACTTTCATTTTCTTAATTAGATTTAGTTAAAACCCACTGTGGGATGCAAAAAAAAAAAAAAAAAAAAAAAAAAAAAAAAAAAAAAAAAAAAAAAAAATAGTGGCATTGCAGGTCCTATGTGGAATGGCAGAGAAAATTTTGTAGTCCCAGTCTATTTTCAAATTTTTTATTCTTTTCTTTGCATTGTTATGTTGAAAAAGTTTAGAAGCTTTTTCCTAGGATTTAGCAATAATTTCATCCGGAAATTTTTTTTTTATGATCCATTATCTTCAATTTGTTGTACTTATACTCATTTCTGTTTTAAATAAGCCTCTTTGTTGCTTTTTCAGGTATCATATATAGAGATTTAAAATTAGATAATGTGCTGCTAGATCATGAAGGTCACATTAAATTGACAGATTATGGTATGTGCAAAGAGGGCATCCGACCTGGTGACAAAACATCTACATTCTGTGGTACACCTAACTACATCGCACCTGAAATTTTACGGGGCGAAGATTATGATTTCAGGTAAGGTATTGTAGGGAAGGCAAGTGTTATTATAAGGCTGGGTCATCTTGCCATACAAACCAAAAATTATTATTAATGTCAGTCGATAAAGTCTATTAAAACTGTATGGCGGATCACATTTCTGCTGCAAAATATTTAACTGATTCGGTGTTTTGTTTCTTGACTCTCTTGCCATCTTCTTGTCTAAAACTTCTTTCTATTTTTATAATTCACACAAATCTAAACCTAAAGAACTGTAGTGTAAAATAGATTTCTCAACTAAGTTTTCAAACTCAAGGGACCCAAAATAAAACAATAAAATAAGGAACAAGGAAAGGAAAAATATTCTGCTATGCAGAATACAGATAGGAGAAAAACCCTGGGAAAACAAGAAGAGACCAAACTGCATCTTTAAGCACTGAAGCTCAAGATTTATGGCCAACTTCTAAAATTGAATAAATCTTACTATGTTTTTACTTGGCATTATATTTTCTGAAAATTCTCGGATTTCAAAGTTTACCCTCCCTTTAAATGAAAAACTGGGGGGTTACCCTCCTTAACTGCTTTGCAGTCCAACGCCCTGAAGCGATTCAGGCCTCAGGTGTTATGCATTACGCTTTACTCTTATGATTTGTCTTAAGATAACATCAGATAGACCATTACCTATTGTTGATTCGCTTTTTGCAAGTACTTACTAATCTCTATTCTCTTTTTCCAGTGTTGATTGGTGGGCCCTAGGAGTCCTTCTTTTTGAGATGTTGGCAGGTAGAAGTCCATTCGATATTTCTGGTGCTTCGGACATTCCTGATCAAAATACTGAAGACTTTTTGTTCCAAGGTACGCATTTTCTGTATCAAGAGCCACGAGTGATTTCTTCAGCTATCAAACCTGGGACTTTCTTATGAGCACATCTTGGTACCTTCAGCTCTTTTAACATTCTCGAAAGCTGAATTTTAAAATTTTTTATTATAACTGAAACATAAGTGAAAAATCACCTTTACTGCACTAAAATTTGACCATTCTATCATGATATGATTGCCTCCCAATTCCCAAAATTGCTGGATTTTACATAGAACTAGATATCTCACTTCATTATAGCAGAATTTCTGCAATAATAACATCCACAATCAATCATTGTTATCTCACAGAATGTTGTGATTATATCCTTTGCAATTTCAGAAATATTATGTGAAAATTTTCAGTGGTAATAAATTCTCCAAGTTCCCCACTTCTGACCATAATGCATTATCAGTTCCCCCTGAACACAAGAAACAATGTTTTCTTCCAAAAGATTGTCCCTGAAATGAAAGAAACGAAAAAAAAATGCACTCATCTATCGTCAAAGCACCGTAAAAATAAGAGCTCAAAGAAAATCTGACCGGGTCACTCCACATCACCAATGATCGGACAGTCATGTGGTCGGGGAGTTTTTGCATACCTGAATTTCTTGCAAGCAAGGCAGGCTTATTCTCATGGGCAAAACCAAGAGTGGAAATCTTGAAATACTGCGATAAACATTGCTCTCCTTTTCATTGTCGATGTTTTTATACGCTCTTTCAGAATAATCATTTTTACTTAATTTTTTTTGTTCTCAGTAATATTGGAAAAAACGATCCGAATACCAAGATCATTATCAGTGAAAGCAGCATCTGTGCTCAAAGGCTTCCTAAATAAGAACCCAGCATGCAGGTTAGGATGCATGCCGGGAGCGAGTTTTGCTGATATTGTAGATCATCCGTTCTTCAGAGGCATAGACTTTGTCATGGTAAGGTTTTGTTTTATTCCTGTTAAACTCTTTTACAGTTGCCTAAAAATAGGGAGTTAAGTGCAAGAAGGCTGTATAATACCCCTTAAACAATTTTCCTTTGAGAAAATAGCTTTCCAAGACTTTTTCCCCCTTTAAATATTAATACCCCTTAAACAATTTTCCTTTGAGAAAATAGCTTTCCAAGACTTTTTCCCCCTTTAAATATCATGGAAATCCTATAAATCATGAAATTTTAGATTCCTGAGGAGAGGATTGAAGTCGAATAAATGCATCATATTAGAGTTCACAGGTTATGTGGGTTAGGGCTGAAAAATGAAAAATTTAGCGCTACTGAAAATCATGTGGATTGCTCAGTTAAATCTTAGGCAATTAAATCTTTCCCAGATGTGCTTTTAAGTACGAGGAATCAGTACATTTGGTCTCTGCAAAAAGACTCTCTGCGCCCATAGGCCTTCTTGCACCTAATTCCTGAAATCGAATACGGTTGGCTGATATGATGATAATCTTTTAAGTTTTCATGTTGAAAGTCTATAAAATCCATTCCAACAGGGAGGCAAGGAGCAAAGTGAAACATCAATCTTTCTCAGAGAGGATACAGCGGAGTAACCTTCTAAATCAGTCTGGCAACTCTGTCCAAAATCTTTCAGTAACATATTTTTTGAACAATCGACCTCTTTTCAAAAAGAGGACAATGATTAACGATGATAATCATTGAATTTTTACTGTTGACAATTTTTCAGTTATATGATAAACGAGTTCCCAGTCCTTATCAACCAGAGCTCGACTCTGAAACGGATTTGAGTAACTTCGACCCTATATTCACTCTTGAGCCAGTCCAGTTGACACCCGATGATTTGTAAGTCTGTGAGAAAAGGCTCAAATCTTGCACAGAGTGATCCCCTGATTGACTTATTTTCCTAACAGTTTTATTTTTTGCATCAGAACCTCACAGTATGACCGCGTTATATCTTAGTTTTGTTTCATAATCTTGCTGTTGATTCTAACGCTCCTTTGAGTTTCTCCCTCCTCCTGTAAATCGTATATGTATTTGAATTTAGGCTCAGTACAGTTTCATTGATGCCTGTAAAATACGAGTGTAATCTTGGCTGAAATTTCTAACCATATTTATCTATATTCATGCAAATCAAAGCCTTGCTCTTGTTTCTTGTATATATTTTTTGTCTTCCCTATTGTGCTAATTTTTGTTTATGTTGATCATGTTTTTAAATGCAGTGCTTTATGTATTTTTGTTTTTGTGTCAAAGAAAGTTTCTCGGTAAAATTAGGAGTTTTTTTTTTTTTTTTTTTTTTAAAGAAAACATATTTCATGTGATCACTATAAAATCCTTTATGTACCAGAAAATTTCATCACTTCGCAAAATTTACCTTTTGTATATCTGTAACTTACAATCAATGCACTAACTAAAATTTTGGTGATTTTTTTCTCATATTGCAAAAAGGACAATGATGAAGTGAGAGCAAGTAGAAAGAATTGATGTTTTAATCGTACTCATCATATAAATACACAATTATAACAGTCTTATTCTAAAGTGTTCATATCTACGTTTGGTTCCAATTGACTCATTTACAGAAATTGAATCTGAAAGAAAGAACACAGATCTATCAAAGCAAAAATTAAAAAAAAAAAAAAAAATCCAAGACCCGAAAAACAATATCTTCCTGATGTTCATTTTCAACAGGGCACATCTTTATGTGCTGCGGTTGTTTGATTTTTTTTTTTTTTTTTAAATAACCATGCAAAATGACGACTGCCTTTAAGTTAGTGGGTGACTTGATTTCCATGCCCTAAGAAAGATTTCTTCGAGCTTTGGGTCTTTCGCAAGACTTCAGTATCGAATGTCTTACCAATCCTTGCAAGAAAAGCCAATTATTTCAAACAATAAGCAAATAGATCACAATGAGCTGTCTGTCATCTTTGTTGTTTTTGATATCTAATTGGACGTATTTCTTTCAAAGGGAACTATGTGCATTAAGACATGAGCCCTAATACCCATAAGAATACTTGCTTAACAGGGCTCACATCATAATGTACATAGTTCTGTTTGACAGAAATACGTCCATTTAAGAGAACCAAGGACAAACTTCTCACCCAGAGACACAAATACAAAAACGCTGCAGTTGTGACCTCGTAGTTGATGCTTAGAGTATGTAGTTTAGCAGTAGATTGAGTAGTTTTTGTCATGCCCACAGCTGGAGGAAAAGCAGGTGACTCCTCCGTACAAGCCGCGATTAGAGTCAGATCGCGATCTGGCAAATTTCCCACCAGAGTTCACAGATGAGCCAGTTCACCTAACTCCAGATGAAACGTAAGTACTTATTTCCATCATCACTTGGCATGGGTTGATGAATATTTGCCTCAGTCCATATCAAGGACTCGATATCTTTATCTGTAGCCGTATGCAAGTCAAGTTTTCTGCTCCTCCTGATAGTGTGAGTTATTCCGCACAAACGACTAAGTGCACTCGCACTCATACATCAATCATCCAATTTTTAAGTGTGTAATAGGAGGAGTTGGTTGTTTTCTCAGGTGTCTACTAGTACCAGTTTTGCCTATTTTTCGTTGCTGAAGTAGACAATTAATCTAGGTTCTTTCATTGCCCTCACAACTTTTTGGATGAAAGAGGGGTATCGATAAAAGCTGTTTTTTGGCCCACCCTAGCTGAATTTCCTAAACTTGACGATTTTTCCCTCATCTAAGGTCTACATTTTACGAAATGCATCATGATCTGGTCATTTTTGGTCTCTTTTTGGGTCTAATACTGGCCTGAACATGGGTCTCAAGATGGGTTTTTGCCAAAAATGTGGGTCTGCGGTCGAATGCCGATTTTTTCCTGTTTATTTGGGGAAAAATCTTTATATCCTAGAGAAAAATGATTGTCATTTTTGGATTAAGAATTAAATACGTAGATATCATTCAGCCAGTGGTTTTATTTTTTATTTTGGTTATTTTCATATACAGACCTGTGTCTACTTTCTAAACTTCACTTTTTTTAAAATAACACCAAGCGTGCAATATTTTAGTTTTGAGTCCTATTGAAGAGTTAATGTTTGTTTTCATGAGGACAAATCATAATGATTGGATTAGGGAGAGAAAAGGGGGCCTATAAGCGACAAATTTGCTATTTTTGGGAACAAACACTTCAGTAGGAACATAAAACACTTATCGGAAATAATGATGAAAAATATATCAACCTACCTGTACAACCGAGTGAATTTCAGCAAGGATGCCCATGAAAAAGGTTCTCTTTTTAGAGGCAGCAGTCAGTTAAAATTTGTGTTAAATCTTTTTTTCCTCGTTTGTTTACCCCATTTTTATTTCAATTTGTATTTTTCCAACAATAATTTTATATTTTTGTGTTGCTTTCAGGCGCGTCATTGAGAAGATTGATCAAACCGAATTTGAAGGGTTTGAGTATGTTAACCCTTTACTGATGTCCATGGAAGACTGTGTGTAAAAACAAAGATAAAAGACTTAATTTGTGTAGATCTAAACATCATGTCTGTAGGGTAACCCATATACTCGATTTTTTTTGTCCTGTTTTTTTATGATTTTTTTAAAAATGAAATATGGATATGTATCTCCAAAAGCAATTTTACAAATACGAAGCAGAATTGAACAAAGCATGTTATTTTTAGTGAACATAGAAAAATGTTGATTTGCTATTCGAAGTGATTCTGTGTTCAGTAATCTTAACAGCAGAAGGCGTAAGGGCTCTAGAGATTTTAAGCTTGATTTTCACCCTGTTTCCATGAAAGATTTTATTGTTCCTCCGCTTTTTGGAGACTTCTTTCCTCACCCTCTTGATTCTCGTTTTGTAGGTGTAATAGTGCATTTAGGTTCCATCCGCAATCTCTCCTTTGCAGCTGAAGCCTTTTTTCAGCATTTGCATTGTAGGAAGAAATTGTTTTCTTGGTCTCCATTTTTCCGTACAAAAAGGAAACTTTTGGGTACTCATTTTCCCGTGAGTATGCTTTGAAGACATGATAGGTTGATTATTAGAATTATTATTGGTATTCTCAATATTTATTCAAAAGGGTTCATTTTATTTCAAAAATCCAACTCAACAGCCTCTGAACCTATTTCTGAAAATCTCTTGCTCTGATACTTTGAATTTGTCCATATTTTGTTCAAGTGCTTATTGATGCCTCTCTTGTTTAATAATTTTGTAATATTTGCTCTTATTACTGTTGTAACTCAGAGATTTTTTCATTAGACTTTGATAATACATAAAAAGGAAGATGATACGTAAATCAAAGTAACCAGGAGCTGTTTAGCGTTCTCCTTATAAACTGAATTAACTTGATGAAATGTTAATTTTTGGCTAGTGTCGCATCGCATTGCTGAGGCATTAAAGTGAGGCATTACAGCATTAAGACCCTTGTTAATGGTTATCATAATCTCTTTTCAACTACGTTTTGTTTGACGTAAATTTTAAGTTTCAAATTTTTGGCAGTTCTCCTCTTTGAATTCAGTAATTGAATGATCAAGTACTTAAGCTGTGATTTTAGTACAGTGTGTTTGTACTTAAAATGCTTAAACTTAAGTGTCCTTATCTAATTTTCTAACGCAGATCAAATTTTAAAATATCCTTTTGCCTGTTAGTCGAGTGAAATGAATTCCTAGTGCAATGTTTGTAAGGGTGAGAAGAATCGGAATATATTGTGAGAATTATGTCTCTGCATAATATTTTCAGCTTTAAAATCACCTATTCGATTCCCAAATTCAAAGGAAAGAATGCTTCCTCAGGCAGTGGAATGACCTTCTTTTGTACTTTGTCAACGGACGAATGTTCTTCTAAAAATCTATTGAGTAAATCCTCTCTGGCTCTGTTTGCAAAGTTTTTGATCCCTATAAAAACAATGCTGGAGCTAGTAAAATAAGAGTATCTCCTCTCCTCAAAAGGTACTTGCCCACTAAGTGATCACATTTGATTTGAAAATATTCTTCTAAATTCCCCTTCAGAAAAGTTGGGAAGCCCTTTCTTATGCAGAAAAATTTCAGAGTTCACAAGTTATGTAATCCATAAACAGGAACATTGTAGTCTCAGCCAAGTGCAAGGAGGTTGTGTCCTCTAAATTTATTCTATAATTTCAGCAGCTTTAGTGGTAGAAAATTATTCAATTTGAAAATACTAGGAAATTTTTGGACAACTAGTTTTTTTCACTGTCAATTGTTGTATCTTGTGTTTCTAGTTTGCATCAGAAACACTGTAGGTTTGAGCGTTTATAGGTGCAATGGAGGTATATATACCCTCAGTCAAAGCTGAGCTCCTCATAGAGTTCAGAGGTTTTAAGTGAGAAAATGGTGTTCATCACAACAGTTCAGTTATGTTCTGACTATCTGGATGATGACTCTCCAGTTTTGTGATTTTCAAGTTGATTCAGTATGTACGACCTGGCCAGATCTCAGAGAAAGCCTAAAAACATAAAGCGGATAAAAGATTCGCACCTGTGTACAATAATACATATTCAGATTGCGCATGCTTTTTGTTAGGATTGAGTCTTATGCCTTGTTTCCGCTTTGAAATTTGTGTGATTTTTAGCAGCAACTAATTGCTGTAGCCATAAATATTTGACCCAAAACGATGAGCTCCTTGTTAGATCGTGAGAGTATCAGGAAAAAACGCTCCAGTAGAGCACTGCACTTTTGGAGGGCTGCGATAGCTATGAAAGATCTGAATTAGATAATCTTACCGAGACTGTGGAATGAAAGATTTGCTTTGACAATAATGATCCAGCTCTTCTACAGATATTTCTGGTATGTGTTTCATCTGCTTTCTGTCATAAGTAAGACTGTTCTAGTATCAATTTATTGCCTGCTTAGCTTGTAAGCCTCTTGTCTTAAATGTCTAATTGGACGCAATTTGTCCTATTTACATTGGGAGTTTTGGAAGAAGACAGAAGCAATATTGGAGAATCGATAACTTTCATTTAGACTGATTTCTAATGAAAAAAGTCTATCTGCATAGAAACAACAAGCAAAACCATCCTCTACTCAGAGCAGAGTCTTATGTCTCTGCATAATTTGCCATTAATGATAGTTTTTGTGTATCGAATCTCGCCCAGCCCAACACTAAACTCCAATCCTTAAACTCAATCCACCCCTCAAACAGATACACTCTTTCTTACATCTCTGAATGTTGATAGATTAATTTTGCACAAATGCTTCCAATTGGACAAACTTTTTTTTAATATTGCATCGTCACATCATCGACATTCGTCTATTAATTTGTGCATTCCTTTTGTTTCCTTTAGTGCCTTTTCCCCCCTCTCAATGTGATTGCCCTTGTGAAGACAACATTCCTTTTTTTATACTTATATTCTCTTTTTCTTTTCACCCGTATAACAACAAGTATTAATCTGTAAGTATTACTTAGTAGTATTATGTTTTAGAAAAGTTTTTAGTATCTTAACTAGTAACGCATATCATGTAAATATGAATTTTTCATTTGTCCATTCCTGTACAGTATTTATGCTTGAGCTGTAATGGGTGATGATTCTGCATACCAAAATTGCCTTGTACTCTGTTCAATAGTAATGAATGTTTAATGTAGTTTTAAGTTTTGTTACATATATTTTTTATAAGAAATATTGTTGTTAAACATGAAACAAAATATAATTTATACCAACCTTACCATATTTTATTGTTTTATTTTTTACATCTAGTTCCTTTCACAGAATTCCATCTTTTTTATCATTCTGTACACAAAATTGAGTGGTTGATGTTAAAAACGAACTTACCTTTAAGTTTATGAGCCTCAATTGACTCTTATGGAAACGACTTTATAAAATCACCAACAATTTTAATGGAGCTCAGAGTTTATCAAAAAATGGATATGTCTGGTTTTTTTATCGTCTGGGTAAAATGGCTTATTCATCAACCTTAGTTTTGAGAAAAAGTTGAGATATTTTCGAATTTCATGATTCGATTGTTCGTCCTGGAAGGTAGCCAATTGATGAGTACAATATGTTAGTGTGAGTTAGCTATACCAAAAGTCTGAATCTAATTTGAAAGAAAATCATTAAAAAACGGCAACCCCCCGCCCCCCTTTCTTGCATCCGGTTCAGATTTTAAAATATTGTCAATCACAAGGTACGCTTTTTCCGGCAATGGCAAGGTATCGAGAATAATCAGCAGGGTTACATGGACTAAAATTTAGGGGTCTTAATCGAAAGTTTTCCGAATGGGCTGAAATGAGGTCATTCCCCTGAAAAATGACCTGCTGATTCCGGTTTTCTGGTCAAAAAGCTTCATGAGTTCATTGCAGCCTACAACTCGCGAATAAGGGTACCTATGAATCCTCGAAACTGGTCAAAGTGCGGTCAAAACTGTGCCATTTTTAGGTCTCTAGATTGAAATATAAGAAAACAAGGGTTCCCTAATTTTCTTTTCTTTCGAACCGGGGAGGGGGGGGGGTAGCCTAACTGAATAACATTTTTGTATAGGTAGGTCGGCCGGTTTCAGAAATTGTCTAGAGGTATCAATATTGCAAATAAACTAAATTTCCACAGGTATACCCTCGTCCCAAGGAGCATCAATGGCTGCATACCGTTGCGGCAAACTTGTCTGAAGGGACGTCATTAATGAGAATATTAATTGCCCAAATTACGATACATTTGGCAACTTTGCAGCGCAACTGTACACGACTCATTCAATTGCCGAGGTTTGTTCCGGTCAACGTGATGCTAGGTAAATCTGGAACGGATGTCTTTCGTGAAAAAATTACAAGCCAAACGTCGAAAGTAGGTACTCTAGTCGAAAGTAAGATCAGAACTAGAGCGCCTTCAAATTTGTGTGCATGCATCACGGACATCCCTCAGACACGAATAGTTGCATCTATAAGTTACGTTTAAGATACCTGCAGCGCCTTCAATTTTTCCGGCTTTGTCACGGAATCTCGATGCCCAGGGTGGAAAAGTGCGCCGTTCCATTGCGAATTTGCGACGTTTAAGAATGGTCTATTATTTAGTAACCATACTGACTAATATGTGTGGGGCCTGTGCGTACAAGCTTTCGATATTGGTCTATTATCGCAAAAAATAATCAGACATCAAATTGAAAATGAAAGAAGACAAAATTCGACAAGTATCCCAAGAAACCGGGTCAAATTGACCCGACTATCTCTTTAAGGGAAGTTATGGCGCCGGTACATACAAACTTCAGATGTAAAAAATATTTTAAAAAAATGTGTTGTTAAAAATATTTTCATAAAATAGAATCAGACGTCAAATTAAAAAAAAAGAAGGAAAAATCGAGTGCCATCATAGACGAGAATAGGAGAAACGTATTGATTCCGGCCTCAATTTGTCACTTTTCGCCCGAATCTGAGTGAAACTTCATTGATAACATAGAGCGGATGCGGAACAAGGCTATTTTCATTTAAATCTTCCGTCACATTCATACGGCGCAATGATACAACTATTTGAATTCTCCGGAATGCGTGAGGTATCATGCCGCATTTGAAGGCGTTTACAAATCAGCCGAGTTCCGATACCCGGATTATCGTTTTGCATAGGTCATATTCTTTTGTTATATTCCGTGCCATTTGGTTATTTTTAATCCTCGTAGAAAAACCACCCATTTGTAAATACAATGCTAGCTGGAGCGCACTTCAGCCATGCATTCACCACTGCAAAAATGTCAAAGGAAATCGACAAGCCCAGCGTGCATGGAGGCTATTTCCATTTCAATCTTCCGTAACATTCTTACGGCGCAATGATACAACTATTTGAAATTTCCGGAATGCGTGAGGTATCACGCCGCATTTGAAGGCGTTTTCAAAACAATCAAGTTCCGATACCCAAATAATCGTTTTACAAAGCTCATATTCTTTTGTTTCCATTTCTAACCACTTGTTTAGTTATAATCCTCCTATAAAAACCACCCATTTGCTAAATACAATTCTAGCTGAAGCGCACTTCAACCATGCATTCATGACTGCAAAAATGTTAACGGAAATCGAAAAGGCCAGAGTGCATGGAGACTATTTCCATTTTAATCTTCTGTCGCACTTCCACGGCGCAATGATACAACCTATTTGAACTCTCCGGAATGTGTGAGGTATCACGCTGCATTTAAAGGAGCTTTCAAAACAGCCAAGTTCAGTTATCGGAATAATCGTTTTGCATAGCTCATATTATTTTGTTTCCATTTCTAACCACTTAATTAGTTATAATCCTCCTATAAAACCACCGATTTGCTAAATACAATTCTAGCTGAAGCGCACTTCAGCCATGCATTCATGACTGCAAAAATGTTAACGGAAATCGAAAAGGCCAGCGTGCATGGAGGCTATTTCCATTTTAATTTTCTGTCGCACTTCCACGGCGCAATGATACAACTATTCGAACTCTCCGGAATGCGTGAGGTAGCACGCCGCATTTGAAGGCGTTTTCAAAACAGCCGAGTTTCGATACCCAAATTATCGTTTTGCATACTTCATATTCTTTTGTATTCATTTCTAACCACTTGTTTAATTATAATCCTCCTATAAAAACCACCCATTTGCTAAATACAATTCTAGCTGAAGCGAACTTAAGCGCATTCATGACTGCAAAAATGTTGACGGAAATCGAAAAGGCCAGCGTGCATGAAGGCTATTTCAATTGAAATCTTCCGTCGCATTTCTAAGGCGCAATGATACACTATTCGAACTCTCCGGAATGCGTGAGGTATCACGCCGCATTCGAAGGCGTTTTCAAAACAGCCAAGTTCCGATACCCGGTTTATCGTTTTGCATAGTTCATATTCTTTTGTTTTCATTTCTAACCACTTGTTTATTTATAATCCTCCTATAAAAATTACCCATTTGCTATATACAGCTCTAGCTGGAGCGCACTTCAGCTATGCATTCACCACTGTAAAAATGTCAAAGGAAATCGACAAGCCCAGCGTTCATGAAGGCAGGCCCGGCACAAGGCGGGGATACTGGGTCCCTGGCATCGGGGCGCAGGCCCCGGAGGGGGCCTGTGTTACCCGAGAAAAACCACTACGAATTCATATGCAACCCTTGTTTCGTAAGAAAAAGTGAACAATTTACCCTAAAAATTTCGCAAAAGGTGAGTAGATTTTCAGAAGCACGCTGGGGCACTGTTGAATTCTTTTTTAATTTTCAAAGAAGTATACTTCTTGGAAAATTTCTATCTATTTTCAAGATGTTCAGTACAGAGGGATATTTTTAGTTACTACGTTTAATTTTCTTCCGTCGGCAGATGCTAATTGCTAAGAGTCTCCAGTCTGGGCATCCTAGACTTGAATGGCTCATGGCTCAACTCCCTTGCCATAGACAAACGAAGGAGGATTCCAGGGGGGCCTGGCCGTCTTAGAGCTGAAAATAGCATTAAATGTCCCCCCCGAAAAAAAAAAAAATATAAATAAAAATTCTCCAGATGTTTTGAATGCAACAATTCGCAAGTATTTTGTGCTGAAAGTAGAAAAAAAAACATAATTATTCCGCAGAAATTGATGGAAAAATTCTTTATGGAAGCTTCAAAATGCGTCCGATTAGTCGTATAAATTCTAAAATTTCTCGGGGGATGCCCCTCGGACCCCCCTTCCTCCGTGCTTGGGGCCCGGACCTTAAAACTGGTACTAGGGCCCGAGATGGGATGTGGCGGGCCTGTGCGGAGCATTGCGATTTCACGCATGGTGTCATCGCGCCTTCAATTTTTCAGCCGCAACAAGGGCATCCATCAAGCACGAATAGTTGTATCTTTGCGCCGTCACCAATGCGCATCGTTTCCCTTAGGTACTGTCTTTTCTTGTTGCGTCGATTGCATATCGACGGCGTATGTATCGGCGTCGCAGACTTCTTGTCATACTTTATTTTTTAAACGGAAAACTACCCTATGGCAATTCTTTAAAACTGCCGTGATTTTTCTTCTCTGTGCGAAGAATATTCTGCAAAAACTTCAAGGAATGATGTCAATTTGTTCTCCTTTAAAACAATAACATAGAGGCGAAGATTTTCAAACACCGCAAACGAGATGTGTGATTGCGAACTTACGCCGTCGATATATCTAATCATCTATTGACATTATTCAGTGTCCGTAGACATCAAAGCATCTTTAGGGAGATAGACACTGCTCTGAGCCTCTCTAATTGTCAAGGATTAAGGTCGAGTCAAGTCCGTTTCAGCAGATCCCGTGAAAATTTGTCGGTACTCCCGAAATTCGCACCCGGGACCTATTGACCGAGATCCAGACTTCGCCACCTTAAATGAGGATTTACTACCCTCCAACTAAGGGAATGATCACTGGGCCTCATCCATATCAAACAAATCCAATTGTCGCTACTTGCGCCACCACCTTGATCTAATGCCATGTTACGGCGCCGTGCAAGAGCATGGGCTCAGAGGCGAAGCTTGAATAATCAAGTATCGATATTTTCCAGTTTGAAACCATGGTGAAGAATCGGTTAGTGAAGTAATTGTTACAAACACCATGATAATCGATCCTTTTCCATCGGTTTGAATGCCAGAATAATCGATCCATCGCAAAGAACACCACGCCACGAATCTGAGCGGGGCCTGAATTTTGAAATACACTATTCCTCTGCAAGGGGGTCGGCGCATACCGGTTCTTCCGTCACCACCTTCGGATCGAACCGTCGGGCTCAGGAAAAAAGCCGTATGAGCTCCTCCCGAAAAAATACATATTTTCAGAAAAATTGAATATACTCTTCCACGAAATTTTCAAACACACACAGTTATGTTTCACAACAGAAGTGGGGCACCTTGCGTAAAAAGGCTTATTTAACCCATTCTAACCTAACCAAACCTTACTCAACTCATCCTTAGGCCTTCCTAACCTGACCTAACCTAACCTAACCTAACCTAACATAACCTAACCTAACCTAACCTAACCTAACCTAACCTAACCTACCTAACCTAACCTAACCTAACCTAACCTAACCTAACCTGGCCGCCCCAGGGGCCCTCAGGGGTTTTCGGGGTTTTTGGGATATTTTCCAGAAGTGGGGCACGGCCCATAAGTGAGGCAGCCCCAGTTCTGTTGGGTATTTTCACGGTCTGTCCCAGTTCTGAGGCACACTTCACAGCCTCGGCCCCACTTCTGATGTAAGACATGCACACCAGAGCGAATGGCAAATACATTTCTGCGCCAAAATCAAGGGGGAAAAAATCCGAACTGTCAAGAAAATTCAGAATCGACCAGGGAAATCTCAGCAACGCTCGGTCGCTTATACGGCGTTCTTCCTCACGGCGGAAAGCGGAGAGGGCGGCATTTAAATGGCTCGAAAGACTATCCGTAATAACGGCCTCAGCCGGCACGGCAGGCGGTGTAACGTAAGGTGTTGTGATGGATTGGAGGGTTGCCAGGCAACAAACGCTTTTCCTCCCGATCTGCTCTTGCTTTTGCTTTTGCACATTCGCGGACTCTTCCCACCGGGGGATCGGGGGATGGGGGGGGGCGAGGGGATCTCTTCGCCACCCCCCGCCGGCCTGGGCAGCGTGAGCCCCTGGCGAGTGTACCCTTAGTCGCCCCCAGTCCCTCGCGAACCGACGACCGTCTCCGCGCTCCGCGGAGAGGAAGAAGAATAAGCTCGCGGATCCGGCCGTTTCGAGGCGATGTTTTCCTTCGCGTCCGACGAATGCAACACGTGTGTGAATGGATACTCCGGCCCGCTCCTCTTGATGTCGTCCTCGCGACCGGATATCGCCGCCTAGACTCATAGCTTCCGGGATATTTTCCCTCCTTTTTCGGTTCGCGGGTCGTCTTGAAATAATTTCCGCTCCCCCTTGGGATGAGATGATGTATGCGCTCGGGAGAATCGAGAGTCGGTCGCCACTCCCGTTCTCACGAGTTTCGATGTGAGTTGACTTTCTGTGGTTTTTGTTTTTGAAAATCATGTCGAGTTTTTCGAATTTTCGATGAAATTCGACCGGGATGTACGGGTAGGACCGTTAAAAAATGAAAATCGCGGATAAAGACTCAACACATAACGATGTCTGCACACACGCAAAATGCTCGCGATTTTTCCGGGGTGTTTTTACTCTCTTTAGTCTGACGTCGTCATTTTGAAATACTTCCACAACACTTCCGAGCTGTATGTGTTGGGTAAAACTGAGCGGTGATTGCGACTCATCCTCTCACGAATTTCAATGTGAGTTGACCTTTAGTGTAGTTTGAATTCGAAAGCCACTCCAATAATTCTAACTAACACGCGCAAAGCTCTAAAATCGATCCGAAACTGAGAATTCCATTTAAGCTACTCATAACTGCGAATACTGCTTAAAAAATGCCTATGATCGCTGCAACTTTTAAGGTCTCCGTTTTGAAAACTCTACGTCGTGGTGTTTTCTCTACTTTCAGGGGATGTTCAAACGTTACATATCACACCCTCTCTACTGTACCTACAGAATGCACCCATTACTATAAATTACGCAGGCATATAAACGAATATGGAAAATAATAGTCCTTTTAAAATTAGCCACTTTTTTCCTAAGACGAATCCAGCGAGATGATACGTTTTTTGACTTGATGACCGCGGCGATCTACCCCTTCGTCCCCATCCACCGCCCCGTTCCTTCATACGTACATTGAGATTTTATCTAAATCTTAGATTTGAACTATTCAAGACTATTCTCAGCCCGAGTTAAACATTTAGTAGCGGTAAAATACGTTTATTCTTGAGAGGTGCCCAAGCGATTTTGGCTACTCACACCTTTTTCAGTAAAATAATCAAAGATTTTGAAAAAAGAAATTTTATAAGAAGGTGACGAATGGGGGGGGGGATTGATCATTAAAAAAAAGAAAACAATCAAGGATTAGGGGAACAATAGGAGGTTGGAGAATTCTGAGAGATTTAGGAAAAAGCCGAAAGGTGAGAGAAAAGTTGGTCTGACAGTATACAAGCCAATGACGCAAGCTACCGTGACAAATTTTGATGGATTTGTTTTAAGGTCTGAATCTTTCGGTTGATGATTGATCGGGACTTTCAGCATTGTTGAATTCTCCTCTTTCTTTCCAATTTTCTTGTCGTATTATTATTATTATTGGTACCATAATGATCTATTTTCTATGCGATTATGGATCCTTAGGAAATTCATGTTTCTTAATATTTATTATAATGAACAATTTATTGATCACAAGCAGGTCTGTAAGAATTTATTCCGGTATCGTATGGACAAACTCGAAAGAATACCTAGCTGTAAAAACGAAAAAATGAAAAGAAAAAAAAAAATTACCGCAAAAAGAAAGTTTTTACACACGCTTGCAAACGGACTAAATTTTACGATTAACTCCGGCTCAATTTAGGAACAACATCCTCCAGACATAAGTAATTTTATGGATGAGCTATGAAATAGTGTTTCCTGATCGCAGAATTTAGTCCAGATTTCTTGCATCAACCAATAAGTGAGTTTAGTTTCTCCCTTATGACTACAATTGGACGTATTTCTGCCAAACGGAACTTCCACCTCGAGATATTTATCGTTCTCTATACTTCACGGTAATTCTGAGAAAACGATGCGTCGGCAGACATGTGGACATATTTAACATGTGCATTATGACGTGAGCCCTGTTACGCGTATATTCTTATAGGTCTCAGGGCTCATATCTTAATGCACATAGCTCCGTTTCATAGAAATACGTCCAATTTTGAATAACTTTCCCCGGGCGTGATAATGCTATCTTCGGTTCGATGAAGCAATTGAAATCAGGGTAAAAGGTTTTACCCTCGATAACGGAATAGTTCAAAAACGGGACACGGATTCTCGAAAACACGAAAGTCAAATCCCACTTTTTCCCGAGAGATCAGCCCTCATCTCCGATGATGTCTTCTCTTTAAAACCGAGGCGTAGGATTTGGAGAGTGGAAAATACTCGCTCTCGAGAGCACAAGTCAAAGGCAGCAGGCAGTTTTTGAAGAGGCGCGATGAGACTCTAATAATTTTAAATCGATATCATGCTCTGTGCCTTAAATAAGGTAACGATGGAAGACCGAGGAAAAAGATGTCAAGTCAAACACAGCCGTCCTCTCCTTTTTCCTTGACTTAATCTGTGTGAACCCTCTGCAAAGTCTTAAGCGCTGTTGCCGTGAGGTCATGATGAGAAGGACTTGTTGAAAGCGGTATATAGTTTCAAGAGCTCTGGAACAATTTACTTTTTTTTCGCTCCCTCTCTCCTTGTGTCAGACTTCTGTGCGCTCATGAATTGCGTGGATTTTTTGTTACTTGGAATAATTTTTTACGAACTTTTTGGCACAAAAAATTTTGAATAGGTACTTTCTACTAAACCGGGGTTCTGATGGTTTGTGCAAGAAACGTAGTTGTGAGGAAAAAGAATTCAACCTTTTTTTCCTTTCTTCTTTTTTTGGCGCCGGAAACAAGCGTTACTGTCAGGGGTTTTAAATCAAGACGTGAGATGCGGGGGTATAATAAAGTTAGTAAAGAAGGGTCGAAGCTGGAATCAAATATGATCATACTGATAACAAGTTTTTGAGTGGAATCGAGCGGAGGGTTCAGCGGATAGAACAAAAAACGAGCGTTGAAGTATCACTTTATGGATGAGGAATATAAATATTCAAGTCTGCGCTTTTGTGTGAAGTGAGTAAAAGATGCATTATGTTCTGAGTATTCTTTTTGGGGTGGACTGCGAGATTCATGTATAATAGTTGCAACCTAAACGGTGAAAGACCAGCCGCATTTATTTATTTCCGATTCCGAGGGAATGCAGGTTTTTTTTCCAGTTATTCAATTATTCATGATTTTCAACCGACTCATGGTCTCAATTAGATTTACGCGCTATCTTAGATTTTTGTGATGTATATAGGTCCTTAAAATAACACTTCCAATTTAGATACTTCTAATATGGAATCTACTTTGGTGCTTTCCGCTTCTCGTCAAATTTTCTTGAAAAGAAACAGTGAGGAAATGGTGAATGTTTCGTCTCAACAATTGAAGGGTACCTATCGCGGATGAAAGAAATAGGTGCAATTTTTGAAAAATTCAGAACTAGCGATCTCAAGTAAACTCGTCCAGGAATATTTTTCATGAAAACGTGGAACATTGAACTTCAATATCAATATTAAAAATTCATTTGTGTCATGAGTTCCTCTGTAATTTTCCGACCTCAAACGGGTGTTGACCCAAATCACCGATTCTTTTGAATCCCTGGTACCTATCGATTGGAATCACAGGCATTATTGGTCTCCGAAGATTTCATCCTCAGTTTCTGAAGTGAATATCTTATCTTTTCACATACATTCCTTTCGACGTCCATAATAATCAATTTCTGAAATCTTACCTTGCGAGCCCTCATCCCTGGGATGCTTTCCTCGCTCATTTTCTGAATTTTTTCTGACGTGGCTGGAATTCTTTACTCTGAATCGCCCACGCTTTTCCAGTCTAGTTTTTGCTTCGCAAACCCTTTGAATTCTTGTCCAAGTCCGTGTCGGGCTTCCTGGGGCACTTCAATTTTTTTTTATCATTCACGCACACCCACGAAATTATTTCCCCGCTTCCTCCATGAATGCCGAAACCCTGACCATATTATAGGATGCATTCTTATTTTTATGTGGGAGTAACACTCACAATGCTACTCATTTTCACTTCACCGGCTCAAACTAACGGGCTGCAACACAGTTTCGCACAACTTCAGCTCCACTCACGTTTCAATTTTGCACAGGTTCTCTTTCGCACGACTCCTGTCTCAACACGGTATCAAATAACACATGAGTGCCCTAAAAAATGTACTGGGAATCTGGGCTCTGGTTTTTTCCCTTTACCCATTGATTTTCCAGGAAATCCAGGTTTTTCTTTTAATAAAAGACAAAACGAGCTTTCCCTCAAAAGAGGAAAGTTCTCTTCTATAAAAACGAATGTAAAATACAAAGAAATCGAAGTCATTCCTGAATTTAGTAATCAAATTTCGTGAGAACTAATCTTTGCGAGCCTTATAAATTTTCCTAGAACTCTTCCTGACAACCAGATTATTCTTTTTAAGGGTCATAATTTGCCAGTATTTATCTACCATATAAAACTGAATTGTTTGTTTTGCGTCAGAGAAGAAGGGATCTGAGGTCATTTTAATTTATTTGTCCTGCTGGACTTTATCTCCACCACTCACCAATTTTCCAGAGGATTAAAGTTTCCAAAAAGTGACTATTTCAGCTGTGAAAAAACGCGTTTTTGATGCAGAAAGTGCAAAATTTACATTTTTCATCCAGTTCTGCAAGGAGAGAACTGAATACTTTTCAATACTACCCTACTCAAATTTTCTAAAAGGACAAAGGAAAAGGGCATTACTATGTCAATGGTAGCCGACATATATTGGAGAATCACGGAGAGAAACATAGCAAAGAGTTGCGCAGAGCAGCGATCAAGTGGCATAACACTAAGCACCTTAAATTTTGCGGAAATGCCTCTTAAAAGGTGACAAAAAGTGACAAAAAATTGAAGGTGATAGATATTCACATAAGGTGCAAAGTTAAGCATTCTGATACAGGATTATTAACCAAAATTTTATGTAGAGCTTAATGCGCGCAACGAAAACTACTGAAGTCAACTCCTCCTCAGGTAAGGTATGAATGTCTTATTAGTTTACACTGGTTCCAGAAATGTTAAATTCCACGCTCAATGAAAAACGATATAGTCTATTGAGTAAAACAGCGCAATAAAACGGTTATGATGGGCTTCTTAATCGAGTAATTTTCCCTCCTTGCCTCATGTGAATATTAAGAACGTGCAACAGCTAAGCCGAAGAACCGGGATTAAGGTTGACACATTTTCATACCGTAGAGACTGTTACGGTAACTTTTAGTGCGCGACAAAACTCTACTTAACTAGACTTTTGCTTTTTAATGAGCGGGAGATCTAAATTTATGCATCAAAAAACTTTAAATATTGAAATAAGAGTTGATTTCAGTAATTTTCCTTGCGCAAATTGTGCTCTACATAGAGAGAGAACTCAACACAAAAGTTTGGTTAGTTCGGGAGGTAAAACACAAAATAACCCAAGCCTCTACTTGACTTTGGAGTTTCCCAGTCTCTCTAATGTCTTATGCGCTAAATTCACCACAAACTGTACCAAAATAAACACAAAATTTAGGCTAGTTTGTGTTTAACTGCCTGTATTAACCAAAAGTAAAACAAAAACACAAATATTTGTATCAGTGTACGCAATATTATTATAAGAAAAAAACATTTAACACAATGCTTACATTTGTTTCTTGTCAAGTGGTCCATTATTTTGGTTGTTGGGTTTCCGCTTTAAAAAATATTTTATGATGGGTAATTTTTGTGGTGCTTTTCTTTTTATTCCTTTTTACTAGTGTACCAAAGGCACCAGGAAAAGGCTGAAACGCGAGGATGGATTAATGCCCTGCGGTAAGGCACTCGAGACTGCTCTAAAAGCGGCAATCATGCGGGGTATAGTGGTTGTACAGGAATGAATTTATCACTGCTGTCGGGAAAAGAGGAGCTCTTGAAAGCTGTCGCGATAACCTGTTAAATATATTACATGATATATTTCCTCTGAATGTAAGGATTTACAATCGTGAATCAACCCCAGCCCTTGTCACGTATTTTGTGCAATCAACACGTGCTTTACATGCATATTTTTTATCGGCGCATGTTTTCACGCCTTTGGAATAGGCGAGAGAAAAAAAATTAAAGAAAAGTTAGGAGTATAGCAACTGGATTGGCGATTTTTTCAATTATGAAATGAGCTTTGGAAAAAGTCTGGGCACGCTCGGCCCAGGAAAATAACTCGAGGCTAGGGCCACTTTCACATTTTAAGCGCCCCTGGACTGAACTTGTTTCGCACTCATAAAAGTAGGTGCTATCGTGTGAGAGGGGGGGTGTCTGAGACACTGATACACAATTCCTCCCCCCCTCGACTAGAAGGGAGGCGTTAGGCAATAGAAAAATAGATAAAATTCCCCCTTTTTTAACAAAAAAAAAAAAAACAACTAAAAACACGAAATTTCAAATGATTCTGAGATGCCCGGTTGGGCTTGGCGAACGGCTTGGCGCCCCCAAAAACCTGGTTTTAAAAAGTAAGGAACAAAGACTCGAAAAATTATAAAAATGTGTTAGAATTCTCTAAAATTTTGCGCCCCTCAGAATGTTGCGGCCCTCGGGTGATAGCCTATGTAGCCTGATGGCAAATCCGGCCCTGCTCAAAGTTTAAGAGAACCCATAAGTGCATTCAAATATTGCTGAATATCGAAATATTCCAACATCATACCATTCATGAGGAAAGAGCTACAGGAGAAGTGTTGGGTGTCATTTTTAAATCATCATTTTTACAAGGACATCTTCTTGAAATCTTCTTTGACTCATTTCAGACAGAAAGAGAAACTCTCATTTTATTGTAAAAAGAAGTTGCGTGACTTTAACAACATTGGAAATATAGCTTATCAAACTCGATCCAGATAAACTGCCCACGTCTATTTCACGTGAAATTCAAAAGATGAATAGTAGAGAATCACCCCCCCTCCTCACCGCCCCTCTGAATATCATTCTGTCTGAGAGCTTGTCTCATAAATCACATAGGGGAGAGCGTTCAAGCGCATAATAAGACGAGCTCGTGAAAACAATCTCCTCTCGATTTGAATAACAACTCGTGGGAAACCAATCATGTTAAGTACATTATTGAGCTCATTTCGTGGCAATTAGTGATGCATAGAGGTGCCAAGTGCTCACTTGAAGAAAAGACAGGAAGAAGAGAAAAAAAAAACATCGCTGAGGAAACAAATAAAGGCTCCTAAAGTTTTTAAGGCTTGCGGTGGGATTGCGACGCTTTCAAGTTCGAATTATGAAAGTAACGACGATTTAAAGAAGCCTCAGCAGCTGCGGTCGAGAGCGCTTTTTCGAGAAGAAAAGACTCGGTCCTTTATTCTGTCAGCGGAAGCCGAGGGAATAAAGTTTCAAAATCCCTCTAAAAACGCACCCGAAGTTTCTTTTTCCTTCTCACAAGTGCAGATTTGCCTTGATTGTCGCGTCGTTAAGGACAGGCCAAACTTTTAAATGAGGTATGAATGAAGTTCCCGCAAAAAAAGGAACTTTGTAGTTTAACTAACCATTCCAATGTAAATCTTTACTAGGAACACGATAGCGTCTCAATTTGTTCTCGCTAAAGTCAACTCCGAAATTTACTTTCAGACAACGCTCCCGGGTTGAGAGCAATATCGCGGGTCTGTACAGGGTGTCTCAGACCGCCCGGAATGCAGATACTATTTCTGCACGGTTCGGAAACAGAGGCGGATACATTAATTTGGCAATGCCGGATTCCATCCGTTTAAACCTGTGTTAAACAGTCGATTTTCGTCAGAGCACCTGGCCCCTCCAAGAATCGATACATTTCCATGGGTTTAAATGGAGAAAAAAATTCTGTCAATTTACTGAACCTGTCAATGCTTGGAAATTACGGTAAATTAGCAACCAATATGATACGCTCCAAAAAAAAGTACCCTTTGCAAACTGATACAAATGTTCTTCATCACGACTGATTAAAGCATGGCACAGGAAGTTGTGGGATTAGCATCATTATCCTGTGTAAACATGACATACGTATTACATAGAGTCACTGTTGCGTTGCAAGCGCTAGGAAAGTTAAACGCCTTCAATTGAATGCATATGCATCACGCACATCCATCGAGTACGAATAGTTGTATGCAGCGCCGGAGTGAAAGTCGCATCCTCTCGTGACTCTGATTGCGCATCTTTCAGCCGTCGAGACTGCATATCTGAGTGGTTTATTGACGTTTTTTATAAAAACTGTTTTCCGTTGTTTAAAAAGTACATTGTTTAGTGCGTCAGAAAATGGATCTAGTTCAGCTGTTAGGTAATTCTTAAAAAATTTCACCGCTAAAATTTGAATTAAAGCTGAAAGTTTGTGAATGCGAAAATCAACCATGCGATCGACTGACCGGATGAAATATTTTGCGTTCACACATTTTCAGCTTAATTGCAGTGTTTAAGAACCAGGTTTTTAAAGAAGAAACAGGCTGAATGTGCAATTGATCTGCATTTGCCAACAATTTTGACGTGAAAGCAACAATTCAGCAAATTTTGATATTGATATGTTTAAACTTCTAGCGTATGCACACTTTGGTAGAATACTCTTACCATGTCCAATACTTATTCTGCCGTGCTAAGGAAGAACGCCGTATGAACATTCGAGAGTTGCCAAATTACCCCGGATAAAACATGTATTTTTGAGGACGACTATGCGTATATTTCTTTAAAATTTTCAGACATTTTAGGCGAAATTGCGAACAAAATTTTTTGAAAAAATTGAAGGAAAAAAATTCACGATTTTCCTAGTAAATTAAGGTTTTATTGAAGGAAACTTGGCAACTTCTAAAGGCTTATACGGCGCTTCTCCTTAGCATGACAGTAGAGTACCTTTATAGACAGAGTATGGCCATTTCTGTTCCGGTTTTTCATTGGTCGCGTGAAAATAGGCTGACACGATATTCTTACGGCCGTAAATAAACAAACAAGATGGCTGTTATCAGCAAGCAAGATTGAGGTTGTACACATCTTACATCCTCCTGTGATAAAGGTGAAAGGCGATTTAACAATGTTTTCATGTGTTTTTCGTGTGTTATTCGTAGATTTGCTAGTTTAAATTGTTACTGCCGTATAATTGAAATTTTTGTCAAATTTAGCTTCTTATCGACGTTACGGTGAGCCTCCATCTTGTTTGCTTATTTACGGCCGTTAGAGCATCATGAAGCCTAAAAACTCGTTGACCAATCAAAAAGCGGAACAGTTTTCCTGTAGTAAAAAGATACGAATGGCCATACTCTGTCTATGAATGTACTCTACATGGCAGTGCTGCTCTTTGGATATTTCAATTTTGACTTTTGTGGAAATATTTTGTTTTTTACAGAAGCACCGAAGTCTCACTTCCCGAAGAACGTTAGAACTAAGACGTGGCGTGTTGAATTTTGGACCGGAGAAAATAAACGTGGATTTGATAAGATTGCCGTGCGTGTCGTTCTCGTATTGCGGAGTAATCCCATAACTCAGTGGACTTTGAGGCGGAGGGCGGACTCGCGCGCCCTGATGAATTTCATCGTCGTTGGAGTGGTGCTGGTGGCGATGCAGCTCAAAATCCTGGAAGGCGAAAAACCGGAGCTCAAACAATAGTCTCGAATTACCCGGGATTCCGCGATGGTCAACCTGCTCTACCTGCCGGACTGCGCCCAACAAATCGGTGAGTGATTGTGTTTCACGGAGCTTTGATTTATCTCCCTCGCTGCCCCCGCCC